CTAATTTTTTTTAAAATAAAAAATTATTATAGTAAAATATAAAATTAATTTTTAAATCTAAATATCAGCATTTAATAAGATGAATTTTTAAATTTTAAATTAAAATTTTGATTTTCAAATATTGGTTAAAATTCTAATTTTTTTTAAAATATCAAAATTGATACATACTAATTTCAATTAATTATAAAAATATGTAATAACTAGTTGTTTTTTGCCCGTGCGTTGCACGGTTAATTTTTAATTTTTACATTAAAAGTTAAAATTTATATTATTTTATATAAAATGCTACCCTATTTAATGCATAGGGTAGCATTTTATATATATATATAGATTATATTCATAAATTAAGAGGGAAATGGAGGGGACTCAAATATAGATATATATTTAATAGGTTATAACTTTAAAGGTAAGGGATTCAAACCTAATCTTTAAATTAAAAATGTATTTATAACATGATTTATAACTATGAAATGAAAAAAATGCTAGATACGGTGGCACCCTAATTTGTATACTCTCAAAAAATGAATAAAAGGCAATAATATTATACGTACTAATTGATTTTATTTGCATTATTTTCGAGTGATGTTTGAGATTAAATACAAATTTAAGGTACTAATTGACTTTGACGTGGAGACAATAAAAATGTCACAGGTAACGTGAATTAATGAATCAATTATCCCCTGTTTTCTGCCTGCGTTATTTTCTAATTCAATCAAACTGCCAGAATTGTTGGGGGTTTGTGTTTCCAATTTGCTTGTGATACGATTGCGTAAATTGTAAACGCCATCTTCATTTCTTTTTCCTTCCCCCCCACCTTTTTTTTTTAAGAAGAAATGCTATTTACTAAGCCTTCGACTTTTAACAACACTTTCTAGGATTTTAATTTTTAATTTTTATATTTTTTATACTTTTAAAAATATATAGATGTTAATGAAAATAAATATTAAATATATTTTATATATTTTTATAATATTAAAGAGGTAAAAAACAAATAGTTACTTATGAACACTTCCAAACAAAACTTTTATTTATGTATTGTAATGGTAGATGTGATTATAATTATAAGTTTTTAATATTTTTTATTTAAAAATGCATATAATATTAATTAAAATTAATAAATTATATAAAAAATTAAGAAATTAGTGCATATCATGACTAAAAAAAATTAAAATCCCAATTTACATTTAAAAATTAAAATTTTGATTTAAAATTTAAAAATTTACCTTATTAAATGTTGATAATTAAATTTAAAAATT